TTTTTTTTTTTTTTTTGTCTCGGAAAAAAGGAAAGATTCCAGGAAATAAAATATATCAACAGAAAGATTGTGTTAGCCGTTAACAACAGGACACTTAATAAAAGGCTCAACTCGATCGCGGCTCGCGCCATCTTGTAGTCTTACGCAACATATTACCCAGAGGAACCTGGGATCGTTGGATTTTCATGCTTAGTCCCACAAAGACATGGTGTCGTTATGGGATGGTAAGTCGCGCTGAAACATTGAATCTATTTACGTCCTATTATCTGTTTTATCCCCTCTTTCCAAAATAACGCAGCTATGTTCCAGATGGATTAATTTATTGGCTAACATTTTTATTTATTTCTTACAAAGTAACCGCTTAGATAGCTTCGTCTGTATGTGCCACACAAGCTATACTTGTTTTTGGTGCAATTTCGACCCCGCCAAATGCCCTCGGGTACTTTGACACTACAAATAACGTGAATTGCCACAATGCATGTTTGCCAAAGTCTGAGGGACTGGGTAATACGCTGCGTTATGCTACCGTGAAGATAGCGCGCGAAGCGATCGAGGTCAGCCTGTTATTTTATGACCTGTTGTTAACTGGTAAGACAACCTTTATTCATAACTGACTTTTATTTCTTACAATCCATATTTTTTTCGGGACAAAATGAAAAAAAAAGAAACAAAAATTGGCTTGACTCGTGGTTGATTCATGGTTGACTCATGGTTGACTCATGGTTGACTCATGGTTGACACGTGGTTGACACATGGTTGACTCATGGTTGACTCATGGTTGACTCGTGGTTGACTCATGGTTGACTTGGACTCGCAGGTGGCTCGTGTATTGCTACAACTCATTTACACCAAGCGAGACGAGCATCCACGACCTTTACACTCGGGAGTTCCCCCACCGGGGCATTGCAATAAAGGTGGTAAAGCATGCAATAAAGGTTGCAATGCAACAATATTACGCGAAAAGTTGAATAAATATATTGCCCGTATTACTTGGCCTAACTTTTCTTTCTCGGGAGTGGATTGATGTCTGGATGTGATCCACATTATAAGGCTGCCCGTCCTCTTTACATAAGATGAGACAACTGTTTTTGTTCTTCTGTGAGGACAACGCCAAGATTACTACGATTATATGTTGAGTAAGGCGTGACGAAAGTTTGGTGACCAGGTTTTAACGTTTGACTGTGTTGTTGTTGTTACGGATAACTGGCTCCTTTTCCAGTGGCAACTTGTCGGCCTTTGACGTCATTGGCAGCAAAGCGCGCGAAATTGCATTTGCAGACGACGATATTGTTACCACTGGAGACGAGGAAAGTTGCTCGTGGCAACACCGTAATTTCAAGTCCAGAACTTAGTCACCAAAGCTCCATCGCACCTTGTTAATCAACTGATAGTCGTAGTAATTAGGTTCTCTGGATTCCAGCCGTTGTCGATAATCAAGCCTCCACTACGATGTGTTATCAGCTGTGTCTAAATTCCGATCCCTGTAAAAGTATGCTCTACCACTGGCCGACGCTGTCCACATCGTAAATTTATCACAGAGACCGTCTTCTTTAGAGGGACTGTCGAATACTACGGGCTCATTGTCTGATCCAAGCATGAAGATGCTAAAGCAGGGTAACTCCGGCGTTACGACAACTCTGAATTTTAACGGCTCCGTGTAGTTTAAGATAAACGCCTCGAATCCGCCATTAATGGACATAACTAACTTGCCAGCGTCATTCATTTTGACCTGCAAAAAACTCAAACTAGGCTCAAGACCTTCCACTTTGTAAACTCCAATGTACTGCTTGGTATCAGGCGGAACTCTTATTTCCTTAATGAATCAAAAGAAAGAAAGCATCATGTGTTAAGAAAGAGTTTAGAGCCAGCGAAAGGGTTTTCACAAAACGAACTTCAGGCTCTGACCCGAGGGGTACTCTACATTGTTTTATACGGGGGAGACTCCGCCCCGAAGTCCACCTTCTTGTCCTTTTGTATGCCATTTTGGCAGAGAAGGTACTGCTTTCGTATGTATACCTTTCATTGAAAAAAGGTAGCCCTTTCACATACTTACTTAACATTGCATCTCCTTTTCTAAACCCTTGAAATGAAGTTGATGAATTCTACGATACAGCCATAAGGTGCATCTGTTCGAAATATTTTAGTTAATATCCCTTTTAAATACCTAAATGACAGATTTTCAACATGTTAATCAGCACCCAGTTACACACCTGGGTTGCTTGGAGAGAGGCACTGTGAGAGTAAAGTGTCTCGCCTAATATAAGACCACAACGCAATGTCTGAGGCTAGGGCTGTCTCTAAGATGTTCGGCAACTTTTGGGCACTTTTTCCAATTTGGGGCAACTTCTTATGCAGTCTAAGACACTACTGCAAAATTATAACAGACCAAACTGGCATATGAAGCACTCATCAAGCAGCTTTTCTTTTTACTTTCTTGGTCACGACCGTCACATACGGTATAGTTTTCTAGACGTTTCTAAGTTTTACTCATCGTGCGTTCGCATTGGTTTGCCCGTGGTTTGAAAAGGCGGTGTCCTGCGGGGCACGATGAGGAATGATGATGATGATGATGATGCTGATTGGAAAGGCGTTTCAAGTGGTCAGCGGTGGGTTGATGAATTCAAAATGGCGGAGTACGACCCCTTATGCTAAGTGACCGCAACTTGATATAGCAGCCCAGCATAAAAATTAAAAATTCGTAATATTGATTGCTGGGTTAAATAACGAACAGAAGAAATAAAAATAGGTTACGACTCGTTTTAGCCGCCATTAAATGCTCAGGAGTCAAGGAACAGTGAAAAAAGGTTCTTTGGTAGGGTAATAAACAACTTGTAGAAAATTTGAAAAGCAACGTGAAGATTTTGGAGCAACTTTTGAGCAACTTTTTAAGAAATTTGAAGATTCTTAGGGACAGCCCTAACCCCGGCTATATCATTAGCTAGCGGTAGAGCCTCATGACACTGTCATGGCCTCTGTCCTGTTCGGAGCAGGGTCCACCGATCTGTCAATGATATCTTTAAGATGATGAATGTAGAACCTAAATTATGCCTTTATTATTAACACAGTTCACCTGTTCTCCTTCTGTTCTTAAGACTTCTTTAAAAGCCGGCAGGAATGTGTTGCTGAATTTCTTGTCAACTTTGCTCCGCAGAGCTCCGCAGTTTGTACAAAAAATGTTTAAGGCTGAATAGTTTTAAAAAAAAGAGAACAGTGATTTCTGTGGATTGGCGTTAATAAATGTACGGCAGTAACCAACTGATAAGAATGACAAAGGGAATGTGAATGTTCTAAAGCTTAAACTTCACGAGTAAAGATAAATAAATGTCTGTTTGCAATCCATCTGTTCCTAGATAGGTAGACGGGTCGGCGTATATAGGTAGGTAAATAGGAAGGAAGGAAGGTAGGTAAAATAGGTGCTTAGGTAGGTACATAGGTAGGGAGGTAGGTAGGCAGGAAGGAAGGAAGGCAATTTGGTGGGTATGTATAGGTTAGAGGGACGTAGGTATATAGCTAGGTTGGTATGTAGGTAGGAGGTAGGTAATAATAGGTAAGTAGGTAAGTAAGTGAGATAATATAAGATAGATCGATAAGCAGGTGGCTGGGTGAATTTAGGGGCACGTCTTTCGCCGTTAGCAATTGGTTAAACACTCCTAGCTACTCCTTCCAGTACCAAGATAACGAAGAGACATTTACTGCCACTCAGTTTTCTCAATAGTCTGTGATGTTAATGTTATTAACTATAAGAGTGTTTGAGAAACATGTGGAATAAACATACGGCAGGGCAGGCAGCGATTTTTATTGAGACACTTGCGAGGAATTTTTAAGTACTTACCAAGCTTCATTTCTGGTAAAAGTATAATTAACGAGTTGAATCCGTAAGCGTCGCCTTGCTTTTTTCTGATCAACATATCACCGGAAATTGTCATCTCCCAGGGTGTTCCAATGACATTTTTTCCGTCTCCGAGAATATACTCTTAAAACCAAAACAAAATGGTGTTAGCTGAGACATTTCAGTCCAAATAACATGGCGAGTAATTGTTTACAGTTGCTTAGTCGAAGGGGTGAGTCGGGGAAGATGAGAAAGAGAACAAAGGAGTCCTGTTGATGCTCAAAAAAGGGAGGGGCTCCGCCAAAGATTTATAACTCAGGCGGGTCGGGTCGGCAGTCTCTCCTTCGACACTCGCCACGGATTCCTCAGGTACGTCCAGCCTGCCAGCAAGCATAATCTAGGAAAAAATGCTCTATGCACGCGTGATGGGGTTGATATTATTCTGTCCAGAAATGAAACGAAACCGAAATCCGCAGTTGATACTTGTAAACAAGAAGACGAAAACCCTACCACTTTCACATGGGAGTGCCTATTACCCCATTACACCCCCTTCTTATACCTCCCTCCCTAGAAGTCGCTCCCTTTCGAGCGAGCGAACAAATGTAGACTGCTTCGCAGACCTCCGTCAAAAACAAACAAAAACAAACAAACAAGAAAAAAAAAAAA